CTGCGGCGTCATCCACTCGGGCGTCCTCTCCAACTGCGACTTGTCGCACCGGCACGGCTGGGCCTTCGGGCTCGGCCTCGAGCTGTGAACAGCGTCTCTTCACACCTCTGGCTGTGAACAGGCACGGCTGGGCCTTCGGGCTCGGCCTCGAGCGGCTGGCGATGGTTCTCTTCGAGATCCCCGACATCCGCCTCTTCTGGACGGGCGACGAGCGGTTCACCTCCCAGTTCAAGGCGGGCCAGCTCACAAAGTTCAAGCCCTACTCCAAGTACCCGCCCTGCTTCAAGGACATCTCCTTCTGGCTGCCCGAGGAGGGCTTCGAGCCTAACGACTTCTTCGAGCTCGGCCGCGGCGTCGCTGGCGCGCGGGGCTGCCCGCGCGCCGCATGCCGTCCCGCCCCCTCCACCCACCGCCGGCCCGCCCGCCGCCGCCAGGCGAGCTCATCGAGAGGATCGACCTGGTCGACTCCTTCACGCACCCCAAAAAGGGCCTCACCTCGCACTGCTATCGCATCACCTACCGCTCGATGGACCGGTCGCTCACCGACGAGGAGATCAACGGCCTGCAGGAGGAGCTGCGCAAGCAGGCTGCGTCCACCCTCTCTGTCGAGCTCCGCTAGCTCCTGGGAACAGCCGCGCCGCTCCCTTGCCGCGCATATATGGACCGGGTGGTCGATTTTCTTCTTAGAAATAGAAAGTTTCGGCAGCAATCTGCCGCTCAACTAGATCGAGCTCGCCTTCCGTGCGGTTCCGCACACAACAAGAGTGTGCACCGGCACCTGGGCGGCGGGCGCCCGGCGCGGCCCCGGCTGTGGGGCGCCTGGGCCGCTCTCTCCGACTCCGTCTCCCGTCCCCCACGTCGACGTGAAATTACACACACGAGAAATATTCTACGAAGAGGTACCAGCGCGGACACACATACATCAATCAGTCAACGGGCTGAAGCTTGGTCAGCTGCTGCTTGCGAAAGGCGTCAAACGACGCGGCCCGCTTCACCTGCCCACCCTCGACCACCCAAACCTCGTTTGCGACGCGCGAGACAAAATACTGGTCGTGAGACACCAGCACCACGCCTCCCTTGAAGGCGGTGACGCAGTCCGCCAGCGCGGCGATCGATTCGAGGTCGAGGTTGTTTGTCGGCTCGTCGAGGACGAGGACGTGCGGCGCTGCGTACGAGACGGCGGCGAGGGCGACACGCGAGCGCTGCCCTCCGCTCAGCGCCGAGGAGGGCACGGCTTGCTGCTTCTCGAGCACACCGCACGTGGCGAGGTGCGAGCGGAGCGCCTGCTCGTGCGCGAGGTGGGGTCACGGGAGGAGGACGCTGGCGACTACCGTGCCGGCGCGAGCGCAGCGCCTGCTCGTGCGCGTACGAGCCGTCGCCCGGGAAGCGGTCCATCAGGAACTGGAGCGGCGTGAGCGTGAGGTCGATCTGGTCGGCGTGGTGCTGTGGCGGGGCGGGCAGCAAGGGAGTTGGAGGTGCACGGCTCGCGCACGGGCCTCTCTCCCACGCCGCCTCGCAGACCTGGTTGACGAGCCCAATCCGCGCACCACCATTGCGCACCACCTCGCCTGCCGTCGGGGCGAGGTCGCCCAGCAGCAGCTTGACGAGCCTAAGACAGAATGGCGCAATCAAGAGGAGCGTGTGTGGCGAGGCTGCCCAGCAGCAGCTTGGACGGGCGTGGTCTTTCCGTTGCCGTTCTCGCCGAGCAGCACGATCCGCGAAGTCGCGTCGACCCCGAGTTCGGCGCCCGAGAAGAGCTGCTCGCCCGCGGCCGAGTATCCGAATGCGACCCCGCGCAGCTGCACCAGGGGGCCGGAGATCTCCCCCCCCGCCTGGAGCGAGAGCGGCAGCTCGTGGTCCTCCTGCAGCGCCGCAGCCTCGTCCTCGAGCTCCGCCTACGCGAGCGTCAACAGGACATGAGCATGACACGTCCACGACACGTCCACGACACGTCCTCGAGCTCCGCCTACGCGAGGACACGCGCGAGGAGGGCTGGCGAGGAGGGCCGGTGAAGCAGCGCCGCGCAGCGTCGCCGTCGAGAGCTCCTGCGCCGCCTCGAGCTTCTCGGCCTGGGAAAAGAAGCATGATTACTCCAGAACAGAATCAACAACGACCTGAGTGAGCTGAGCTTCTTTGCCTGCCGCTCCTTCATCTTCTGGCGCGAGACGTCGGAGCCTCCGTACTTGAAGCCGTGGTTGGCGTACGTCTTGAGCTTGGCGACCTGAGGCGCGAGGGAAGCTCGCCGCCGGTGGACGCGCGCGGCAGGGCAGCGGGGCGGTCAGGGCGGGGCGGGGTGCGGGGGCTGGCCGGGGCGGTGTGTGTGGCGGCGCCTGCTCTGCGCGCAGTGCGGTCGCCCTCTCGAAGGTCTTTTGCTGCTGCTCCCGCCGCTTTGCCCACGTAGCGTAGTTGCCGTGCGACTGGGTCAGCCGGCGTGCGGCTGCGGAGAGGTGGAGGACGTCGGTGGCGACGGCGTCGAGGAAGACTCGGTCATGCGAGACGACGACGACGATCCGCTCGCTCCAGGCGGGGCTGGTGGTGAGCTCGCGCATGAGCCAGAGTACGGCGCCGATCGAGAGGTGGTTGGTCGGCTCGTCGAGCATCAGCACGTCGGGCTTGGCGAAGATGGCGGCGGCGAGGCAGGTCCTCACCTGGGAGGGGTGAGGGTGAGGGTGAGGGTGAGGGTGAGGGTGGAGGTGAGGGTGAGGGAGGGGTGAGGGTGAGGGTGAGGGTGAGGGTGAGGATGAGGGTGAGGGTGAGGGTGGAGGTGAGGGTGAGGGTGAGGATGACGGTGAGGGTGAGCGTGGAGCTGAAGGGGGGGGGGGGTTGGGGGGCGAGCAGGCGGGCGGCGAGTGCAGGTGCCCTCACTCACCCTCCACCCGCCCGAGAGAGCAGCCATCGGCCTCGCTCGCAGCTCGGCCGAGAAGCCGAGGTTGCGCAGCAGGGCGAGGGCGCGCTGCTCGGCCGCGTCTGCGCCGATGAGGTCGAGCCGCTCGAGCACCTGGGCGGGGCGTGGGGAGGTGTGAAGAGGGCGAGGTGTAGAGGGCGAGGTGTAGAGGGCGAGGTGTAGAGGGCGAGGTGTGAAGAGCAACTCGAGAGGCGTGCCGTCACATCTCTCGGCCAGCCATCATTCGGCCATCTCTCTCCTTTCTCGGCCATCTCTCGGCCATCACTCGGCCATCTCTCGGCCAGCCATCTCTCGGCCATCTCTCGGCCATCTCTCGGCC